TCCCTTTTTTTCTTTTTTCTTGTTTTTAATCTTTGGTGTTAGGATTGTAATTACGGCTCGACGAGTTTTTATTGATGAATCCCAGGAGTTTAGTCCAAGGCAAGATGGCATTCATGACTTTCCAAACACAGTTGAAAAGAAATGGCGATTAATTGAGTTTTGGATTTTAAATTGTATAGTTTCTCGGCGTTAGGATGGTGATTATGACTCGACGAGTTTTTAGCGATGAATCCGATGAGTCAAAGGGAAGATGCCATCATGATGTGTGATTGATGCCAATGGGCTATGAGAGGACTAGACCTGGGTTCTTTTGGCTTTCAATTCCTCGGCCACTCCTCGGGGACCATGGATCGAGGAATGTTCCGTCAATTCCTCGGAAATTAATCGGGAAAATGCCGATAATGTTTGAATCGGAGGAGAAATGGAGATCAGACGGTACGTGTGGTCACCATTACACGTGGGATCCACCGTTTGTAAGAAAGTTTCTCGACTGATGGATGGATTTTGATGCCCGTGTCGTAGTTTATGGATCGTGTGATCTTTCTTGACCAATTTATGGACCGTGTGATTTTGGACCAATTTTATGTCGATGGGTTATGGGTTTGACTCAATTAAAATTGTTCTACTAATCGGTTGGACAAAATTTTAGATAAAATTAAAAAAAAAAAAAACTCTCTAGATATCATAATTTATTTATAAGTAATGATCCTATAGGACCCCAAAAAATCACTATTAAATTTGACACGGATATCTGTGGGACTTGATTTTTTTAAAAAAATTCATGTCAAATTTAATGGTGATCTTTTGGGGTCATACACATATGAGTCGATGAGGCTCTTATGGGATCATTTCCCTTTCTTTATCGTCAAATAGGTTAAAACCAGTCAAATTATTATTATTATTATTTATCAAACTGAGTTTTACTTGGACTAGACTGGCTAAAGCACTAATGACGATGCTACCGATTAGACCACTAGTTCGCTCTGGTATTAGACAAAATCTTTTAGAATTATTATAATGGCTAATAGTTGTTACCGATTTATGCACTTCATCAATGTTCGAAAAAAATGCCAAACCGGTCTAAAGATAGTGTGATTTTAAAAACATATTATAATGATAACGAACTACTGCCAAATTTCGAGTTTGTTCAATCTTTGAAAAATGGTGGGGTTTGTATAAGGTATCGACCTTAAATAGTCAAAGTAAGGTTGACTTCCAAAATGTGCTTAAAGATGTAATTTTGTTGCCGGAAGTCTTCCAGATGGATTGAAAATCTATTTTCAAAGTCATCCTATTAAATTTAAAGTTACAAAAATGGCGTAGATTGGGGAAAATCTAGAAACATTTGTAAAATTAAAAATGGACAGTCTAGATGATGTGATTCAATATACATTATTTTTTATTCTTGGGATCTTTCTTTTTTTATATCCATACATTTCGTGGTTAAGATAGTCAATTAAGAATGATTTTTTTCAATAGTTTTTTTAAGTGCCTCTTACTTTTATGGTACAAAGGTGGTGCCTTATATAAACTTTCTTCATAAAAAAATGCTGATCTGAATCAATGGAATTTGTCACATCAGACAAGGTTTTCAGACGTTATAATATGGTTCTATTATCAATTTATGAGGTTATCATAGTTAAGCAATATGAGTAATGGCAATATATTGGGGGCAAGCATTCTATGTTTCCCCCACAAGCATAAAACTTATATACTACCCTTTATCCAACTGTTCATTCTAAATGGAGGGCTACGATTACCCCAATCACAATGTCACGTTTCTAAACTATTTTATTTTTTAACTTTTTTCGATAAACTACTTGGACACCAAATTTTGGACGTCCATTCTTCTATTAAACTCTCACTAGAGAAAAATATAAAAAAAATATTTTAAATAAAATAAAATGATCAAAATACCCCTAAAAGTTTTAAGGGATATTTTGGTTATTATATTTTATCGAAAATTTATTTTTAATATTTTTTATATGTGCACCCCAATGAGAAGATGACACATATCAAATTTCATATTCATATAATTTGTATAAAAAAACTAAAAATAAAATACTTTGAGACGTTGGATCTAAGATCAAACGGTGAGTGGCTCTTTCAATCAAAATTGCACGGCTTGATACTAAGGGGATGATAGAACTTCTATGCTGTAGGAAAAGTATAGAAACCTTCCCCCTATATTGATACACCAAAAAGTTACTAATAATTTCATTTGGATGTGGTTAGCGTGTGGACTTGCCCGACAAAGTTGGATGAGAGTGATTGAATGTCATCGTGGGCGGGGCAAGCCCGCATATGAACATTTTCCATTTGGTTTTGGATTAAAAAATAAAAAACTGGAAGCCAAAAGGACCGGCCAAAGAAACAGTGGCATCAAGAAATCGTTTGGTAAAAAGAACGTGACTAGCTCAGGTATGGCTCAAATAAAAAAGAGTCCAAAACTATTGTATCTATTTGTGTAAATATACTTGTCAAAAAAGGCCAAGTAATCATGTTAACTTTCAAGAAAAGCTTCAATTCACATGGAAGCAATCAACCAGTGAGCCAGCTAACTTGACAAAAACAACAAAGAAGAATAGACATAAGGGGAATTTTGAAAAAAAATCTCATAAAATATAGTGATATTTTGTTTCTAAAAATTGAGTTTTTGAAGTTATTTCAGCTGATGCATTTTAAAATGTTTTTGAAAAAATCACAATTTTTTAAAATAACATTGTTTTCATGGAGGTTTGCTACGATGGTTGTAAGGCATCACTGCTGTTATTTTCAACTATTGCCTGTTTGTCAGAGATTTTTTTTGTATGGCCGGCACCCATTACAGTTTTAAATTGTTGTAAGGGTAAAATCACGTTTCTTTGAACCCTTTTTTTTTTCTTTTTCTTTTTTTGATATTAATGATGGGAATGGAGGATGCACGTTTCTTTGAACCTTGATTTTAGAAAACCAAGACAGTTGACGATTTCGGCCATGCCTAGACCCTTGCCCATAGCCAAACTGGGTAACACCCATTTCAAAGGAGTTTATGAAAATTTAAAAGTATGTAATATATTAGTGTATGGCATATATGGCTCTATAGCACAATGCAGACATCACAGGGTATCAACTGTCAGTTCAGGACTATGGATGGTGAAGATGAGCCAGATTTGCAGTTTGTCTCCACCACCCATCATTAGGATGGACCGTGGATGATGCAGCATTAATTTGTGGTTATCTTTCCTCAAATTTCAAAACTTTTTTTCATGATAAGGATTTGCACAATAATATTTTCTTTTATATAGTTCGAGAACAAAGTGCACACAAATTAATCTTTGTCTCCACCATAACTTCATTCTTTGATTTCCACTAGTCTGGGACAAACAAAATCGAGTGGCGGTTTGCACATATAATAAAGACACTGAAGTTCCCACAGCACTTTAACATCAATCAAGTTTTCATATGTCAACAACGCATGCATTCCCTTTAATCTGGATCAATGTGAATGACAGAACATATTACTCTGCCCACGGACCCAATGCCACACAAGACCTGATCAATTCCCCTTGCATATCCTCACTTGCAATTTTTGTAACACTTATTGCAGGCTTGAGGGCTTGACGAAATCGCTATATGACACATTACAAAAAACTTTGCAAAGATTCTAGTTCAAGTGTTCATAAGCCCTCCTGCATTGAGAGAGAGAGAGAGAGAGGGTGGGAGTAGGGCATGGGATTGGCATGGCCACAGTACACAGGGACAGGGATGAAAATGAGTAAATATATGACCAGCTTTAAATTGGTCCTGAATACGGTATATAAAATACAATATCAAAGGGGTGTGTCTAGGATTGACATGGCCACAATGAATATAGGGACGGGGATTCAATTGAATAAATATAAAATCTTCAACTTTATATAGGTCCTAGATTTGCTATATATAATATGAGCAATGATCCTATGAGACCTTCTCACACCCATATGTGTAGGACCCCAAATGATCATCATTAAATTTGACACAAATATCTAAAAAAGTCAAATCCCACACCCATATAATAACTTTTTTAAATATCTGTGCCAGATTTAATGGTGATTCTTTAAGGTCCTACACACATGGATGTGGGAGGGTCTCATAGGATCACTACTCATATAGTATTAATAATAAATTTTTTATTGAGAGGTTGGCCACAACATTTTTGTGCCACAAACTAATGTTGATTAGTTTGTTTTTACAAGTTCTTGCCTAGGAAATGTGTACAAGAGCCCAAAGGTCCTCACTTTGAAGCTTCACCCAAAGTTCTAGCCTAAGAAATGTCCAAAGGAGAGCCCAAAGGTCGTTACAAAAAATTCAATTATTTAGTAAGCTATAAGATTATTTCTAGGCTCCAATCCTGGATTCAAGCCTAAAAATCCCAAAATTGACTCCTGTGTGAATTGGACCATATGATGTTTTCTTTATGAACTTGACCATATGAACTGGACCATATGATGTTTCCTTTGAGCCCGTTTGCATCAGCTGATCTCCCATCACATTCTCCCTCAAAATAATTCTACATCTTCGCTTAGAAAAGTCAAATCACTTAAATCCCCTCTCACCCTATCTAACAAATTTCTCCTCTTTAACTCGGAAGTTAGGGCATAAAGTTCGTAGGATTGACAACCAGGTGCGCTTCAGGGACTCTTTTGTTTCTTTTTTCCTTCACTAGAATGGACACATTGATTGTGTTCAACTCTTCATCAATACCAGTATATACATAAATATCTTCATTTAGATGTACACTAGCAAGCAGTTAGACTTATACACAGTTGAGCAGTGGCAGTATAATGCCTATCAACCAATACAAGACCAGTCTAGAACCATTTCTTGTGGTAAATGTCAGTCATCATGATTAGTGTGAAACACAAGACTACTAGCCATCAAATATAAATATGTTGACTCCATCGGTCGACTTGTTGGGACCTGGTGAGAGTTTTGCTGGATACAAAGAACTCGCATGTCATAGAATGTACAAGTTCAAAGATTAAACACTAGATGCTCTCCATTTTCTGTCATAATTCTAATGTCTTCGAAGTTCAAACCACCATTTATAGCAAACATAAGAATTCACAGAAACCTAATCCTTAATTAATTTTTATTCCTTCGACATACCAAACTTCAATTATGTGCAAGAACTGTCATAAACAACGTAAAGAAAGAACCTCTCCTACTAAAGTGTGCAAGCTTGAGGCGATGGAAACACAGCATTGCACTGATGTAGACTATGAACACCTCTCTAGAAGCCCACGTTAGCTAATAAATGAAATCAGCTGTATAAGTATAAACCTTAATTAAGCAGCCACTCTAACATTCATGTGTTTGACGTCAGCATAGCACTGCATGGAGTTCGAACTGTCTACTGTGGTGGACCCCATCTCAGTTCTCTCCGCTTGCTCATCAAGCATGATTTGCCTATCTCGGCAGTCTGTGCTACAAAAGGCACACAAATCCCTGCATAAGAAATCAGGAGTAATTTTAGCTTTAACTTTTATAGAAGTTTTAGCATTTTGATGCCAAATAAAAACAAGAAGACAAATTTCCTTTTTGATAAACAAACGAAACGGCCCCTCAGTGGTCAAAAGCACTATTATAATCGAGAAATGGACGTCAATGGATTATTAAGAACAATGTGTTGCAAATGGCAATGTTATCTCGCCTTATCACATAGAGAAAGGAGGCTCCTATATACCCAATTTTAAAAAGTGGGAATTGGCTTACGAGCCATAAGTCAGCTTAGTGAGTCCAGCTGATCCCCACTTAAAAAGATCCAACAGAATTCCTAAAAAAGCTAAAAACCATAAAATGTTAGTATATGAGAAAAATTAAGAAAATAAGTTTTACATAGTGATGAAAAAGTAGAAAACTAAGAGATACAAAGGGCGTTTTATCTACTAGGACGCTAGACAGTCAGTCATTCAACAGTCCAAACTGGAGTACATAACAATAATCAGTTCCACTGGAGCATTCATATCTTGAGATTACCAGTACAAGCCAAAATACACAATCTAAAGCCAAAATGAATGACGGGATGGCTCAAAATCATCCTAAGCACCACTATCTTGATTACATATGCAACGATATAAAAATGTGCCTGTAGGTAGGCAACTTGTGCAGCACCTACTAACCCAAAGTCCCAAAGGCTAGTCCACCCCCTTGTGCTTGCCTCCACCCTGCTGCTTGTGCTCCTAGGTGTCTCAGTCTCACCATCATCATATGTATGAATCATCTCCACCTACATCTCCCCCTTCCTCCTCAACTTGTGCTCCTACTCAACCAGTGTTCCTTCTCTTGATTCCATTCCACCATCATATCTTTCATCGCCGATGGACCCATCGCTTCTTACTAGTAGCCTCCTATTGAGAAAGGGCTCCTCCACTTTCACCAACCACTCAACTAGATACGCTAGAATATGTGATCCAAGTTGATCAGGATAGGGCATGTTTGGATGACAATTGATTTTATCAAGATTAGACCGATAAACTTTGCATAAGTACATGCCCTATATTCTGTATAATGTTATTCAATTATTGCTTAGTACCCTGGCCCAAAACTTAAAACTAATAAATTTTCCACAATTTTCAATGGCTTTTAGCTATTTCTAGATGAAGCAAGCGATTTTCAGCAGATTACCCCAAATAAAAACAACTTTTCAGAAAAATAAACTTATATGTAAAACTGCCTATAAGTTTATCTCAAATATTTTTATAATGGACAATAACAAACAACATATCATTCATTATCAAGATAAATATTATTGAAACAATGAATTGTTAGGTATAACGAGTACGTCTAAACAGGTCCTTATTGTCCATAGCTCCCTCCTTAGATGCCGCTTTCAAAAATTCCTGGTGGTAATGGATGTGGATGCATCTTGAAGCTTGGCGACATCCAACTAGTTCCTTAGTGTGTCCATCCACTGGAATGTACTTCAGTTTCACTCACACCCCCGTAGCAATACATATTTGCCTAAGCACCTTGAACACAATACTCTGTTGGTGTGGAACTCTAGAGCCATGTAGTTCCCACCACTTTGCTAAAATAAAAAAGAGAAAAAACCAATCTTTAAGAAAATGGATTTGTGACCCAGATCGTCCATCTGGAAAACTAGTCTAAATCGGCAGATCGACAATCTAGAACGGTGAATCAGTCGAATCAGCCAGATCCAACCCTAAAGAATCTCAGAAAATTCTAAAATTTCTTAAAAATGTACTCTTATGTTTTCAAAGAAAATGAAGGTATTGCAATTGTAGATTTTCATTACTTCGTCGAAATACGTAAATATTGATAACATGTTTCATGCATGAGTATGTGTTGAGCACTACATCCATTTTATAGTCAAAATGAAGTTTAAAATGTAACTCATTACAATAAAATGGATCTTTCTGACTCAAAATTTTTTATTTTTTTATTTTTATAAACTCTATTACCACTTAGCTTGTAAAAATCAGGGATTTTGCCTACACATTTATCATTTTCCCCATTTCCTAAAGACTAATTCATTGAATTACTTATTTATTTCCATTCCTATTTTTACGGTAATGAAGTTGCATAAGTCTAGTCAAAGCATTTTTTTTTGCTGATTTTTCACATTTCTTTTCATGGAACTCCCTCATTTGCTATATTGCGTCGTTAATCTTTTTCTAAATTTTATTTTCCTTCATTTTAACTTAATCTTTTCCTTGTCCTAAATTTTTTTCACTCTCCGTCCGATCAAGATAGAGAAATTTTCAACTCTCCATCCGAACATTTTATAACACATTGTTAAATTTTGGAAAAATTACAAAATACACCCTAAAATGGACTATACACAACTTACCCCCACCCCAATTTTTTCTCATACTTTTTTCCCCCTAATAACCTTTCCTCGCAAAAACCCCCCCAACCCAAAAGTAAGATAAAATAAGACAAAAATACCCTCATTTCTTTTCACACGGCCTTCTCTCCTATTTTTTTCACACCTCCTTCGGCTCCGGCAATGGAGGACTACGCTCTGGCAATCCTAATGCGCGCTCCGACAGTCACAATGTGCGCTCCGGCAGTGCTTTGTCTGACGTGCATCGCTCCGACGTACTGAGAACTGCGTTCTGGTAGTGATACTGCACGCTCCAGTAGTCCACTCCGGCAATCGGAGAACGCGCTCCGGCACTGAAAATATGCACTCCGGCAGTTCGCTTCGGCAATGTAGCACCACGCTCCGATAGTGCTTCTTGACATTCCACTCCGGCAGTAGTATATTGTGCTCTAGCACTACTCTACTTGGAATCGTGAATTGATTTGGTTTGTACGGGAAGGGCATTTTCGTCCAAAAATTAAGAACTTTTTACCTTGGGGGTTCTGCGAGGAAAGGTTGTTTGGGGGAAAAAAGTATGAGAAAAAATTGCGGTGGGGGTAAGTTGCATAAATAGGTTGCATAGATAGTTCATTTTAGGATGTATTTTGCAATTTTCCCTTAAATTTTTGCTTTATATTTGTCATATCCAGATCGTTAGATACGGCCTTAAATTTAACAGCAAGTTGAAAAACTTTAGGCCATCTCTGTCGCTACATTGGTCTAACACACCGTTAAATTTTCTTTTTGCTTCATTTTTCTAAATATTTTCTTTTCTTTTTTAAACCGAGCCTTTAAAATTTAAAGGCTCAATTTTATTTCGGCATGCTTTGAACATGGTGATGAGGCTCGATTTATTTCAGAGTTCTTTGAATGTGGTGATGGGAAAGGAGAAAGAGGTGGGATGCACCTGGTGTCACTTGATTTGAGTGTTGTAAGGAAGGGAACTTTAGTCCACCATCGGCCCCGATGGGACGAGCATGGGTCGCGAGAGCCCATAAAGATGGGCTAGGTGATCCCATTGCGTGTGTGACTGATATTCAAGGGGAAAGGGGTGGGCCCTGTGGTCCCCTCATTAAATAACATATAATAGTTGATAAACAATATAAGGATAAAAAAATCAAAAAATATATTTAAAATAAGGTAGGACCGATTCTTTGACAAAACCGGCAAGTTCAAGGGGAACCGGTTAGTTCTCAATATTTAGCAAGATCCTGATCGGCTTGGCTGATTCCCGATCTGGATTAGCCAATTCCTATCTAGATCACCAATTTTTAAAATCTTGGAAAAACTTTTAAAATGTGTCTTAAATGACATTAAAAGAATGTATAAGTGCATAGAGAATTGAGAGCTAACCTGGATCCAACATAATATGAGATTTCCTAGCAAAGTTACTTGCAAATTTCCTCTTTGCATCCATATGTATATAAAGCTAAGGAGGCGTTTACTAGTTTATAAATGTGATTTAAATTACTAATAAATGCCTTAAATTAGGAAAATTTCTTCAAAAAAATGTTTCTTACCTCCTTCAAAGATTCAATATTTTTCTTTCAACCTCTCTCAAATTTCTCCATGCAATATTTCACCCGATCCATGACCTCAGTATGAAGTGATTGTCCCAGCACATAGTAGTATACCCAACTAAGATATAATTATAAGATAATTATCTGTACAGATATGGCCCTTAAATAACCAAACTAACAAAACCAAAATAGTTACAGCTCTTAAAATAATAATGTCTGAACATTTAAATGTCAAAACCATTTACCTATTGCATGAATTAGTTGGCCATTGGCGTTAAAAGATATTCCATCTATCAACTATCGCCACTACTTTGTTAGAGTATGAACCTGTGACTTTGATTGCATTCTTTGCTTGATAAATTGCTTCATAAAACAACCGAATAGTGAACTTCATATCGGTGTACATCATCTTCAATAATGCCCCTATAGGAGTTGTAGCAGCACTATCTGCTTGCACTTATCCCAGAACCCTCGCTAGTGATAATATCTTCAACTTCCTAATAGCATGGGTCCTTGAGATAACAACATTTAACAATTATTCAGAGGAAACCATATGCTTTGCATCGTTGCGACCGGAATATGGCATCCATGCACAAGAATGGGGTAGCAAACCATGTGATTCCTGGCCTAGTTTGCTTCATCTAGAACAAACCGTGTGATGCCTGGCCTAATCAGCTCCTTCCCCTCGGTGAACTGCCTCATTGAAGCTACCACCAGCGAGCAGTTGTAAATGAATTCCGTGATCAACTTCCCATTCTCCTCATACTATTTCATCTTCTTGAGCTTCCCAATGTATTCCAGCATAAGGTCAATGTAGTGTATTGCACAGGGAATGCTTCCTCTTCTTCATTGACCTTTTCACTGCATTGACATGGTTTTTGGCATTGTTAATTTCACCTGAACAACATACTCCAGACCAACTTTCCATCACATCATCCAGTACCTTGCACAATAGCTTCCCATCTTTCACAGCCCTTGAGGCATTTACGCTATTATGGAACAATAATCCCCTGTGGGCGATGCAACAAAATGTTCTCCCTTTCATGTCCTTCTAGCTATCAGACATGATGCCACCCATGTTCTCTTTGATATCTTGTACT